TACATTATTTTCTAGTACGCTACTGTCCTATCTGTATTAATACTATAATTTACGCCTACTGAAAGCTTATTTGTGTATCGGTTCCAAGTGACTTACCCAAATAGGTCATAAATGGGCAAGTACCTGTGCGACCGCTCGCCAGCTTCCTTCGTCAGACCTGTAACAACTTTGCAAAGAATAATTTAAATTTTAAAATAGAATAATGTGAAAAGTACGTATTGTAAAATTATGTTGTACATAAAGAAATTTTGAAAATGGATAATGTAGGTACTTCATAATCCATTAATTATTTATCTGTAACTTCAAACATTTTACATTAAAATCCAAATGACATTTTTTTACAGTGAAGGCGTCTCGCATTTTCTTTTAAATTTAGTTAGTTAATTGAGTCATCCATTATCATTATAAACAGTACGAAACTCAATGTTATCGTAATCCATCATTCGCATTGAATACTTCAAATTGAGTTTTCGCTCATAACTCAAAATCTGGCTTGTGTACTGTTAAATATACAAATATATTTTTCTTTGAGGGCATTAAGCGTTTATCAGCTTTGCGAGAATCTTGTTTATAAACATATTTTCAAGTAAACATTTTTATTCCTGTAGGCATATAATTCCTTATCAACTGGCCAAATACTTTATAAGACATCCAAGGACATGCCTTCAATTTTTTATTAAATTTTCTCTGAATCGAGGAAACCGTCAAACCTTGTAACTTCATAATAACAACGACGAAAGCAAACAACATTGAAGCTACAAAACATTAATAACACAATATCAATTAATAAAGTGTTTCGCAACTTAAATGTTGTCCTATTTTCGTCCTTAAATTACCTCTGTTGTAATTTTAATTACGCCTGGAAATTCATGCGATTCCCATTTTTACAGTTTCATTGAGATACATTAGATCCCAAAACCCACGAGCCCTTTATTAAAACCTTATTTTGTTTGTCTACATACCTATGTGCAAAAGTCAAACGTATCCATTACAGATTTATTGGTCACAAATTTAAAGACCACTTACTACGTTACAATTGTAGCACATTGGGGGTTTAGTTTAATGGTTAAATCATATGAGAACTATTTTTCAAATTACAAAATGGACGTGTAAAAATGTCTACCTAATAAAAAGCGCTATTTTGTGTGCCATTATTTGATTTGCCCCGCCAGTTTAATCAGACTATAACAGCGCTTTAATTTTCACTCGAAATGACGTAAAACTGTATAATTATGGAAAAGTAAGTCGAAAATAAAATTTAAAAATTTAGGAAATCATAGCTGATCCATATATAGTCTTAATTTTCTAACAGAGTCGACTTTTGTTGAAATTCTGTTGATGAATAGAAAGAAGAAAGATAGACAAGTAAATATTGGAAGGTGAGACAGATAGGGATGTAGAATGTTACCGCTACTTTTTAATCTATACATGGAAAACGCAATCAACATCATTAAAGACAGTACCACTGTAGGGATTGATATAAAAAATTCAAAAGATTGGTATGGTTAGATTTGCAGATGATACAGCAGTATTAGCATCTAGCAACGAGGAGGAGTAGATAGTATGAAAATAAATAATAGTAAAATAAAAATACTGGTATGCAAGGGAAGAAAAAAGAGCAAAATCCGATCTTAGATACCTAGGAAGTCAGTAAATCAGGACGGAAGGAGTAGTAAGGATATAAATAGGAGGATAACGCCTTCAATAAGAAGAAATCATTTTTATACTCGCGAACGGTTAATTTTGAAATTCGAAGAAGATTGTAAAAGGCGTATGTTTGGTGCGTGGCGCTGTATGGGTGCGAAACATGGGAAGATTAGAAATGAATGGGTATTAGAAAGAGTAGGGGAACGGAGGACTCAATGGAAGTCAATAAGAAATAGGCGAGATAGGTTAGTAGGACACCTTCTTAGGCATGAAGGTCTAGTCAGAGACATATTAGAGGCAGAAACGGGAGTTAGGAGGGGTAAAAGTGTAGTCCTAGATTAATTACTGTTTGCAAATAGTTGTGGGTTGTTCTTTTTAAAAAAATGCAAATATTAGCTCAGGATAGGGAGGAGTGAAGGTGCGTGTCCAACCAATCTTAGGACTAATGACTTTATGATGATAATTACATCTAAACGAATTTACAGTGTAACAACTCCTTTGTGCCAGTATTGCAATTATCCTTTACCCCAGTGGCGGCTCCCTCATAAGAGTCAGTGAGTAATTACAACCGTTTTAAACAAAACAAACCAAGCGACAACTGAGTCTGAAAAATAAAAATATTAGGTTCAGAAAAAGGAGGGACTTTTAATGTACCCCCTGTATGAACTATCTGAGCCGCCACTGCTTCACCCACTTCGGTATCTTATAATAAACAGCGGCCCCATACGTTACACAAAGTGGAAATTGTACGTATACCTACATAATACAATACGTATAAGTACCAATTTAGTGTACCTATTTGCATACGAAAGGATCTATTACAAATACGTAATATTGAATCCTTTGGTTGGTTCGATGCACCTAAGACAAATTGGTTTCCTAATCTCGACAATAAATCCGTCTGCAGACAATAACAACCGAGCGAATTCGCACTCGCTAATAAATCCGCTTATGGGCGTACGAAGCGATACCGATACCTACACATGTATCGAATGTGTATATAGGTACCATATTATACGTTCGTAGAATCGTGTACCACATTGGACGGATACTTCGGTGCCCGCAGATACGTTGCACATCAAAGTGTTGCATTAAGTCATCGGATTAATTAATAATTCAACGTGCATCGCGTAGATTTGCAAGCGACATGTGCATTTCTCACCAAAATGGCATATCCATCTGTAAATGAGGATTTAATAAAACATCATGTTTCTGCACGTCGTCTACCCATTGTAGAGTGCGACATAAAGCTAATAAAAATCAAACCAAGCAAAGCACAAAAAGTTGTGTTTCATTCATAAGTCGTACATAGGTTTTAGTCTAGAGAAAATTATTACCGATTACAGTAGTGTAATCCTCTTGGCACGCTATGTCGTCCTCGTCAAACCGCCATTTTCAATTAACTCTTTAAAAACAAAAGCGCAATACTCTTCCTGCCCTTACCTGTCTAACGACACACTCCTCATTGCTCTATCAACACCCCTGCTCCAACTAAGGACTTTCTAAACCGGGTTGCTCTTTGTGTCGCACTCTATAGTGTTTAGAGTTCATTTTTTTTGTTTTCGTGAATGAGAGGCATTAAAGTCTAGTCAGAGATATCTTAGGGGCAGAAACAGGAGTTAAGAGGAATAGAGGTAGACCTAGATTAGATTACTATTCGCAAATAGTTTAGGTTGTGGAATGTTCTAGTTTTAGGGAAATACGAAGATTATTAGTTAAGGATAGAAAGGAGTGGAGGTACGTGTCCAACCAGTCTTAGGACTGACGACCTTCCCGAGATAAAAATGTTCAGTCTCTCAGAGTCTCTGAATGCAAGACTCGAGTCTCCGTCTCTCATCGCGTCTCTCTGGTGTCGCGGAGAGAGACTGTTAAAAAAATTGTTTAGCGTCTCTGAACGAGAAACTCGAATCTCTCAATAAGTGGTGTCTCGATAGACATGGTTAAAATTTTCTAAGTTCAACATATTTCAGAGAGATCAGTCTTTCTACGAGAGACTCGAGTCTCTCAATTTTTCAGTTTTATTCATTCAGTCTCTCTGTGAGATACTCGAATCTCTGAATTAACAATTTTATCGTTCGAGACTCTCATACAGAGACTGTGAGAGACCCATAAAGGCAATAACTGAGAGACTTTGAAAGACTGTGAGAGACGCTCTCAAGGAGAGACTGGAGAGACACTGAAAACTTTTGTCTAGGGTTACAATGATGAAGATGAAAGAGAGAAGATCCTTAAAAAAATGTACAACTGGATAGTGTTAGATACCCTCCTAAAAGAACATACCGACTAAAATCCCTCAAGTTAAACTGTTGTAGGGTTAATTAAAATCCTCTTCAATCAGATTTAGAGTTAATATCACAACGAACAAATNATATCTTAGGTACAAAAAAATATATAAAAAATTGAATAAAAAGTACTTATATTCAACATTTAGGCAAGCCGTCTCCACGTTAATATTCTAGTTGTTGTATCTAACATTTTATTTGTGAATAAAATAATTCGAAGTGGTGTGTATTCTGTCGAAACTGCGGATCGCGATTTCGATCTTTTTGGATCTCATCAGCATGTCGCAGACAGCTCCGACAGAACACAGACCAATGGCGTGGTAAACGCCATCCGTAGTACGATGCTACATTTTAGGATTACGTATGCTCCAACAAGGTCCATTTAAATATATGGATATCTACTTCGTAATCCTAAAATGTAGCATCGTACTACAGATGGCGTTTACCGCGCCATTTGTAGTATTTTCTAAAACGTGCTGTTAAGACAGACGGTAAAAGTTGGTCTGTGCTCTGTCGGAGCTGTCTGCGACGCGCTGATGAGATCCAAAACGATCGAAATAGTGATCCGCGTCTGGCAGTTTCGACAGAATACAGACCACTTCGAATTATTTTATTCGATTATGGTAACGTGCCTATCACGTTGAGGTTAGCTAGGCCGGGATTTAAATGGACCTTGTTGGAGCATACGTAATTTTATTTGTGATTTTTATTGTTATTTTTATTTTCTCTTCCAGTTTTGACGTGAGGAGTCGGCAATTCAGCCAGGCAAGGTTGTGGTCCTCACCGACGATTTTTGGCCCGCGAGTTTTTTTTCGAGCAGCCACTAATCCAGCGACCCTTGTTATAAACGATATTAAATTGTCGGATGAGGGCATATACAGATGTCGGGTCGATTTTCGTAATTCGCCCACTCGGAACAGCAAGGTCAACTTCACAGTCATCAGTAAGTTATTTTAATACTTTTTTTAACATCCGCTCCTTTCTTTCAAGGAACATATTCGCCAATAAAAAACTAGCCTAGCAAAATTTTAAAAATTCAAGGAATGTATGCCTGAATAACTACATTTATAAGATGTGACTGATCTCTGAATACAAGAATGATTTTCTCTGTATAGACATAAGATGTAATAGCGACAACAAATACAAATTCATCTTTTTCAGCATCATAATTTTAAACCTAATCAGAAATTTCTTCATCGATTCATTTTGAATTATTGTTAAGGATCAAATCTATCAACTAAATTGGAATAATCCTAACATTCACAAATGATACTCTCATAACACTAAAGTTTCCTGATCCGATGTTTCAAAACGGAAGGAATTAGTCTTTTCTATAATATCTGCACAAAATATTGCAAATGTTTGATTTCTCTTTTCCGGTATTATTGTCTTTTGACTTAGGAAGTTATCGAACTTAATTATTAATGTCTTGTAATATGCAAAAGTCAAGAACTGATGGGGTTGAAATAAGACTTTTTATGTATTTTAAAATTACTCTAACGTTTCGCCCCGGATGAAGGTCTTTCTCAAGGTAGGCTTTCTAAGTTATGAAAACAACAATTCCTAATAGTTTGGCGAGTACAAAAGTACATAAATCTTATGTTACATAATCTATTAATAATTAAATACAAATAAAACAATAGTTTTTACAAAAGCCATCATAGACAGTTAACAATGTGTTACATAAGTGTATCCATATAGAAAATCAAATCATGCAGAAATGATTTCCATTAATTCCCTTTGTTAATCAATAAATGCTAATTGGAATCCAGTTTGATATGTACCTAGGACCATACCTGTAGAGAGAATATTAAATTGCAGTATTTTTGCGTGAGTTTTTTGATGCAACACAAATAGAGGTTTCGGTTATACAGCATGCATTTTTCACAAAGAGCACTAATGAAAACGGACAATGCTTTCACATTTTGTTTGCCCTCAAATAAAGATTCAATTAGTCACCAGTCATTTGTTTATAACACGATGTACGACCATTACATCGAGAGCAAATTTCAAATTTTACACGCAACCAACGAACACATGGACGACTTAAAGCTTTGAAATGATTCGATAAATGGTTTTTTACCCTAGATTCACATTTTGGTTATTTTAACTCAGTGATAATAATAAATAACAAGAAATCTTTTTGAAAAAATATAACAAGAAATCCTTTTGTGAAAAAATAATGAATCAAACAGCGTAAGCAAGCTAGAGCCGATAGGCCTTAACCCATAAAAATATCCATAAGCATCTTTTATTTTCATCAAGTCAAGTTCGTCATAGTGGCCTTATCACATAGATTGAACAAAAGAACATTGTAGTAGAACTATAAACTTAACGGGTATTGGGATCCGTCAAATGGGAGGAGCCTAAAAACATGGCGCCGATTAGGGAAAATCTATCGTAGTTCCTATAGTGTACCGTGCAATTTCCAAGTTTTTAAATTACGATAAAATGATAAGTATTGACACAATATGTGATTGGGCTGACACAAAGCCTCGAAAAGGAAATTTCGTTGAAGGTGAGCGTGTTTTTAATGCCAGTCACATTATAAAATTCGGATATAACAAATCCGGAAGCTTGCTTTCAAATTCCGTCAAGTTTACTGCCTACTTTTTACAAACTTCGGATTTACCTAAAAAGTGATTCACGTTATACAATTGGTGAGGTGATTCTGGGTGATTTAAGCAATATCATATCAATGACTTGCACGTGCAAAGCCGATTTAAGAGAACGTTGCAAACACATTATTGCAACTTTGTTGTATTGCAGCAGGTAG